TGTAAAATCTGAGAACTTGATTTTTGAGTGTGAAAGTCTTAAGGTTTTGGGGTATTTATATCCCTCTTTTAAAAACAAAAACACTTATTTACAAAACTGACAATACTAATGTTACTCCTCCTTGAATTCTCCTTTGAGGCCAATTTGTTGGGCTCTTAAGAATTCTTTGATTCCCAACAAGTTGATCCAACAATTTAATTGATGTTGACCCAAATTAAGACACTTTATTGCCTCAATTAATAACTCATATTATTTTATACACATTTTATATTTAAATAAGTAATTCTTTTTAAAATGAAATGAATCATTTTAATTTATAAATAAAATAAATAATTATATATATAAAATATTATAAAAATACGGAGTTTTACATTCAGCTCAACTTAGAGCTTATGTCCTCCATACCCTAATAAATTTTATTAATCCACTCAATAAAACCAAAAGTAATTACAACAATTGTTTATCTACTCAAGCTAAACAATCCATACACCTAACTCAAGGTGTCCCAAGTATGTATTTGTGTTTTATAGACCTTGGGAAAATAAGTTAAAGTTCAAAAAAATTAAAATCAGTTATGTAATATAAGTTTTAATAAAGTACTCTCTCTGTTCATGTTTTTTTCTTCTTATTGCATTTTGTGTGGTTTTCAATACATATTTTTTGACCAATTATCTCTTTAATCACGTACTAGTGTAAATTATGAATTTGGATACCACACAATTAAATGATGTTAACAAGATCAAAAGTAATGGTATATAAGTAGCAATAGAAGGTCAAAGTTTTTATTTTAATCGACCTTGTAAATAGTAATTAAGTTAGTTAAACAATAAAGAATGGAGATAATAGACAGTATATAAGTAAATTTAGAAAAATAATTAATTGGACTTTTTGTCAAAAACTACCTAATAAAACCCAGATTTTGTGAGAAACTACCTAATAAAAAATGTTGTAATAAATTATCTAATAAAGGTAAAATGTTGTAAAAAAACTACCTAAGAAAAGGTAAAATGTTGTAAAATACTACCTATACCGGATTCCACCATTAATCGACCTCAAAACACTCTTGAAACCACCGCTTTCATTCCCAAAACTAACACAACTTGCTTGAAATCGCCTCTACCACACCTAAACCACCTTTCAACCCCAAAACCACCACCTCTAACCCCAAAAAACCACCATCCCAAAGCACTAATCTACCCTCACCAACTTTGAATATCCTCCGACCACCCCGAAATAACATTACCACCTTAAAAACCAACCCTAGCAATGGTTTTGGGGGTGTTTTAAGATGGATCAACGTCGTAAAATTTAATCAACGGTGAAAATTTGGTCAAAGGTAGTATCTTACAACATTTTACCTTTTATTAGGTAGTTTCTTACAACATTTTTTTTATTAGGTATTTTCTTACAAAATTTCGATTTTATTAGGTAGTTTCTCACAAAAAGTCCTAATTAATTTTATTTATTTTCAATAAAAAAATCCAAGTCCAACAAAATTAATTTAAATTCAATAAAGATTAGGTGAAGAGAATAGTACTTAATAGACAATTAAGGAGGTGTTTGGTTCATTATATTGGAATGAATTGGTATGGAATCTCATACTAGATAGGAATGGATTCTAAAATCCATACTAGTACGAGTCTAAAGTTGTTTGGTTTTATTGTTGGAATGGATTATATACTTCATTAAGTGATTGGTTGGTTGGATCATTTGGAATGGAGTTATAATCCATTCTATCTAGCTTTTTGTTTGGTTGGTTTTTTTTTTTTTTTGTATTTTGTAATGGAATCTACCCAAGGTGTTCGAACTCTCCCCCATACCCATGGAATCCCATACCTACCTCTCTCGCTAAGATTTACAATCCATTCTATTGATGAAGTATAGAATCCATTCCAACAATAAAACCAAACAACTTTGGAATAATATGGGTTTTAGAATCCATACCTCTCTAGTATGAAATTCAATACCAATCCATTCCAATTTGATGAACCAACCACCCTTTAATAGAATGAATTGTGAATGTTAGGGTGGGGGAGGAGAGGAGGTGGGTATGAGATTTTATAGGTATGGGGTGGAGTTAGAACCCCTTGAATATGAGATTTCATTACTATAAAACTCAACCAAACAAAAAAGTAGATGGAATAGATTATAACTCTATTCCAACCCGTTCCAAATGATCTAACCAAACGATGGTTGGATTCAGAGGAATGCATTTAGGGTGTATTTTATTTACTTGAACTTTTTTTTTTATCTGAACTTATATGATCTTAGCTGAATTTACCTAATTCGTCTAAACTTGTTGGATCTATTATTAGAACTTATTTTAGGTGTAAATTGAATGTGACGACTAACTCTTATTATTAATCCTTATTAGAACTAATATTTTATGAACTTTTTTTTATCTAATTTATTAACCCTTATTTGAACTTATTTTTCTTGAAATAACGACTAAACTTAAAGATTTAAGTTAAATAAATAAAACATGACTTTAAATCCTTTATTACATCTAATATCATCTCTGAATGTATTATAATAATAATAAAATTAATAGATTAAAAGTTAAAAGTTACAAAGTTACCCCTAATTAAGTTAATTATTACCCCCAAACATGAGGTGTCATACAATAAAATTATTGTACAATTGATGTACGGATTATTGTACACTTGGTATACGGTTGCCAAAAATATTTGTATGTTATTATATACTTGAGTATCAAATTGTATATTCATGATACATAAGTAAAACACTATAGTTAGTGATCAATTATGTCCACCGATGGCAATAATTACAAACTATCATTTCTAAATACGCGTGTGGTCTTCTCTCATACCAATGCTCCCTTTGCTAATCTTTCAAGTCAAGTTAGTTTGTGCAACCAACATTATTTTTATCTTCTCTGTTTATTATGTACTTTCCATTTCATTTTATTTTTACAAATTAACTTTTACCGTATATGTACCTGTGTAATTATTTTGGCTTCTCAAATCAATAATAATTCATCATTGTTGTTGCCTAACTCCCGAGTGTTAATCACTACTACTTCATTTTTTGATGGAGTAATTAATACAAATAATTCTTAAAAGAGTGAATCACGTAGCTTTGATTAAAGTTCAATTAAGCTTGATAATGCATGGCAACATGGAAGACTACTTGATGCATGCCTTTGTTTGATTTGAAACAAATTTGTACATGAATGCGTGATATTTCGTATATATTTTCATTAGTCATTTAGATTTAATATTTTAACATTCGAAGTGGATAATGAAAGGGTAAGGTAATATGTTTTCTTATATGCGAGCACTGGTTTTTGTTTAGCATCACATCATCTTTTTTTTTTCCCCAAATTGGATTTTTTAATGAATATAATTCATTAATTAGAAGTATATTTACAATAGAAATCAAAGTTAACAAATTGCATAAATATAATCCTTCATGGAAAGGCAACTATCTCAGGTTGTTTGATACAAAATTTTGACGTGGGTCTATTGAATAGTTGAAGTAAAATTTTATCAGTTAGCATGTCACGAGTTTTCTATTACCCGAATTGATTTTATTAATTTTAAGTCTCTAACGTTCCATTGTAATGGACATGTTAAAAGAAAAATAGATGGAGCAAATTAAAAATAAAAAAAAATGCATAGTTTAATCAGGATTTTTAATTTAACATTGTCCATAAAGATTTTAAAAAGAGAAAAAACAAAATGTTACACTATAAAAAAAAAGAATATATTAATCAAAGACTATATATCCAATTTGTTTGGTACTAAGTTCGACAGCATATAAACACTAATAAATATATCTCAGAGGAAATTATTTTATAAAAAAAAAGGACCAACTTAAGGATTATTATAACCGAAATTTGTTTTTTCTCACCTACAATTTCAATATAAGTTTATAATCATTCTCCTCGTATAATCAATATAATGATGGGAATTATGGGTTTGACAAAAGCTAAAACACAATGATATATTGATATGGAGCAACAATACGCGGTGAAACCAAAAGGCAATGTATTTGCATGAAATTCATGTTCATTTAGCTTTACTACTTTTCAGAAGTACAATTGTACAAATACATTGTCACCATTTCCCAAACCACTCAATTACATTTTAGGCATGGACTATTATATTCTACTGTCAATTAAGGTAAAGATTAAAGAAGCAGCTGTATGATGTCAAAGCCCCACGCAAAAGACCCCAATGTAATAAGTATGCTTCAGTAAAAATAAATTAGTCTCTTCACTCTCTCGCCTTTGCTTTAACTCATTATATAAACATTAATGGATCAGTAAAACTTGCTTCCATTACAATTCTACCTTTAATGTATTTATAATTTATGATTTTGGTTTAAAAATTATATAATAGGTAACATACTCCTTCTATTTCATATTAACTGTCGCTTTTGCTTTCAAATATCGAATTTATTGTAAGAGAAATAGATGAACATGTGATTTTGGAAAACGAAATTGACAATCAACGTAGAACGGAGAGAGAGTGTGCATATATGAATGTATGTGCTACATAATTGACTACTATCGTGCTTAAAGTGAAAAAATCTTGTCTGAACACCACTAATGGAGAATCCACATGAGTTTTACTTGGTAGTAGTTATTCTTTAGCCATTCATTAGTGATGGATTGTCTACTCAATGGGTAAATGTAACAATGTTAGTTAAGAAGGGAGGAGCGGGGACCAAAAATAAATAATATGTGCGTGCTAATTTCATGTAGTTCTTGTGTACATTCCCCATGCAAAACCTGAATGTCACGAGGATAGCACAGTCATGGAGAGGTGATCATCTTTAAACTTTGCTTGCCATAATTGAAACCACTTGTTCCATCATTTTGTTCCCCTTCTCCATTTTTCCTTTGCCATGACTAAAATTTTACGCCAAGCAACAATCCCACTACTTGTATATAAACCCCTTCATCCTAAGCCTAAACCTCAATAACCTAATCTAAATTAAACCTATCACTCCAACCCCTGAAGTATCAACCGAAAATGGGACAAAGAATTTGTTTCTTCGTTCTCTTCTCTCTATCCTTGTTTTCCCGGATAGCAGCACAAGACCGTGCACCCCACGGGCTAGCTTACCAGAGCCCAATAGCCTTATCTCCTACGGCATATGAATTTTTTCACCCTAATGATCATCAAGACTCTTGTACTAAATCAAACTGTGCACCAATTCCATTAGCAGCTCAAGTGCATGAAATGCAGTCTGAAGCAGCAACAACAGAAACTTCCCCATTGACACGTACTACTGCTTTTGGAGCGGGAACGATTGCTGGCCCTGCTATTGCAGCCATAATCGTTCTCTGCTTGGCGATGGGCATCTACTATGTGGCAAAGACTCGTCAAGAAAATGTCAATCGTACTAAACCTATCCAACCAAATGTTTAATTAGATGTTTCATTCACTTAATGAAACCTTATTTTGCCTGTATTATACAGCCTTCAGGCCTATAGATTTCCATCCACATATTAATGTGTTTTTTCGTCTTTTTAGTTAGTAAGATGAACAAGATGGGGGTAAACTCCGGCAGCAATCGAACCCCCATCGGTTTTGAGCATGGGAGATGGGAAGGACTACTACTGTCCCTCCTCCCCCATTCTCCCCACTATTGCTGCTTGCTCGTCAGCTTGAATGTACTAACTAGAATCTTTTTTTCTTTTTTCATTCGATACGAAGAGTTTATTGTAGTAATTTATTAATGTATACGTAAGATTATTGAGCAATGAGCATCAGTAGTCCATTCCTTGTGATTTTCTTTGCCAAATGTGTCACACCTCTTCCTAAACAAGAACCTCTGTAAGAATGGCAAATGAGGGAAGAGAATCAATTTTTAAGACAGTAATTTAAAGTGAATTCATTAATTAATAACTAAAAATGCTTTCATAGTTAACAAGGGATCCCTAACGAATACAATCAATCAAGAATAAGACGTGCTCGTATTTAAGTACTTAATTAATCCACTGTAATCATTCAGATGTCTCTTAGTAATGATGGTGTTTCAAAGCATTCACAGGTAATTGGACATAAATTCATAGTTTAACCAGAAATCACAGGTGAAAACATACAATTAAATAAATGAAAATGCATTATTAATTCATTGTAAATTCTCAGCAGTCTGGGCAATGATGGTGTTCATTTCTTGTCAATGCATCACCACAGTCACGCACATATACATGGACGCACACAAGCACAATTCTGCAATAAATTTCGACAAAAAGCTCCTGAAAAGGAGATTGTACAACAACAATTTTCAAAGAATTGTAAAACATGCACGCACACCATTCTGCTGTAGGTTTCAACAAAACAAGGCCACAAAGCTCAGGTAGGAAGACAACAATTTATAAGAGGAACAGGGATGCAGTAGTGCACTTGCTCTTCTCAGATCATTACCATGTTTTTTAGCCAAATATAATTTCATAACGGACTCAATGATAACAGAAAGGCACCTCTGAGTTCATCCATACAACAGATTACTTCAGTAATAGCAAAATGTGCAAGTCGGGTAAACATTTTAACCTGAGAACCATCATGAAATTTCAAATTTTCCTGGACATTCACAAAAGATGCAGACCAACTAAAAACATAATGTATAGGAGCCAAATCTAATTATAATGATCAAACAAAAAATTCACCCATGATAATATATAGTGGACGTTCAAAAGAACATTTATATCTATGAGTATGGATTAACTTGGATACAATGTCACTTATGTCAGTCATACAAAGAATGTCAAACTCACATATAACAATCTGGTTGACCTCCCTCACAGGGGGGCAAGGAGCAAAATGCGACAATTGCAGAAAGAATGCATATGCTAGTTACTGCATACATCTCCATTCTTTTTTATGCAGTTCATTCAACAATCCGATTACAGATATTTTACCACCCACATGAACTAAGAGATGCAATCACAGTCCCAAAAGTCTTATCTACAGCTTTGTTCCACAAATGTGCAAATTCAAAAGATTTTGTTGCAAGAACTGGCCTCTTAACCTGCATGGATCTCATTCAAGAGCAAGTCAGATAAAGTCATTGATTCTCATAAAGATAAACTAGGATATAACTCTTATTGAGTAAAACAAACTTTCCTACACTCTGGGTAAATGAAGATAAACAATAAAGGCTACTTCTCTACTCCCCTTCTCAATATAGTAAAATATTCTATAGCATGAGAGAATGTATTGGTTTTACTGATAATCTACACCTCATCCGGATTCCAACCAAAATCCCTTATCTCTTGATCTACACAAAAAGGTTCTAAAAATTTTCAAGTCAAACAAGATAAAATGCAAAAAATTGTCTAATATTCTTTTTTTTCCTTTTTCATTTGAGAATTTTTTAATAAAAATATGCTGTGGAGACAACATGTTTTCAACCAACAATATTTACATTCAAAGAAAAGAGCCTATAGCAAAGATCCCCTGCCTTAGTAAGCAGCCAATACACTCCATTTCAAAGTAAGAACTTTAGAAAAATTTAAAGGTTACAACACATCATTAGCACAGAACAACTCATTCAATTTAGCATTGAACATAACACCGATACAAGGTGAGTAATGGTGTTCCAACAAATACAAATATCATTTTGTGAGAAATGAAAATCTCAATCATGTACTATACAGTATACAGTTTTATAGATTGAGAATGTAGTTTTGGACAGAGAGAGAATTGGATTTTTCCCAACATTTGTAGAGATACAACCTCTTAAAAAAAGGTTATGATAAGAGGATGAAAAGGTGGCCAAGTTAATTAAAGTCCAATGTTACAATGGCAAATATGGTCATTTTACAATGACATGCAGCTCATTAGAACACGTGTGGAAACGTAAATGGTACTTAGCTAAAGGTGCAAGTAATCATACAATCAAAGTAAATTTGCAGATCATAATCCAAGAAATTCAAATGTAACTGTCGTCAATGGCTCCATAACAAATAGAAATAAAGGTTGACCAAGGTTAAACTGGAAGATAATCAAAAAGAAATAAAGCATTTGGAATTAAAGGCAACTTTTAAAGGTGAGAACGGTTGTAAAATAAAAAAAGGGAAACAAATTTACAATGTATAGAGAACAAAACAACCTGAACCTATTGTTTAGGTGTCCATGACTAAAAACTGAATATTAATTCCAATAAATTTGTAAGCTGGAGAGCGAACCCGATCCAATTGTATACTAGACCTGAAATGACCCAACCTCATCCTAATCAACATCGCCAAGCTTGTTTACTTCACAAGTATTCAAGGATGCCTTTTATAAAGCAAGCCAAACCAAGAGCTAAGGGCTTGTTCATTATCGTTTTTTGTTTCAAGTTTTCTACTTTTTTGAAAACGAAAAACCAAAAATTGGAAACTAGAAAAAGTAGTTTTCACTTTTTTGTTGTCAATTTTCAAAATAATCATGATATCAATAAGTCAGTTTAATTTTAATTCTTTTTATGACATCAAAAAAACAAAAAACCAAATATCTAAAAACTACATTGATGCCAAACGGGCCCAAAGAAGCTGCATTAGTTAATATAATCAATCCCATCTAGCTCCAAGTGCTTATTTTTCTTCTGTCGATAAGTGATTTTATTTCTTCTGTCGATAGGTTATTATTATCCCCTTTGACCAAAGTGCTTATTTTCTTATGTCAATAAATGATTTTGATAGATGACACAAGAGTACTTTATGAGAATTAGAACTTCATATAATAATAATAATAAGAAGAAGAAGTTTAAAGCACTTGTAGAAAAGAAAAGTGGATACACTCTGAAAATCGATAGTCGATAGAGATTGTAAAAATCATTTCCAATAAAAAACTATGTAAGACAGCAACAATCCTCTTACAGTCCCCTAAATCGACAAAACATATTAGGTAGTTGAAAGTAAGGATAGGACCCTATTTTTATGAGCAATATTACTCACCAATTGTTTACCCAACAAAAGTTCATAATCCCTCCGTTTTATTTTAAGAAGATAAATTCAATGAAGAAAGAAAAAGTTTAAGGACAATAAGGGTGAAGCTCTTCCATGAGCAATATTACTCACTAACTGTTTACCCAACAAAAGTTTATAATCCCTCCGTTTTATTTTAATTTACTCACTTTCCTTTTTTGGATTTTTTTTTTTTTTAATTTACAGACTTACAACCTACATTTTTTAATTGTCAATTTCACATTTTACTTTTTTCCTTTTCTCCTAACCTTAAATACCTTGGTTTCCGTGAAAAAAAAAGAAAAAAAAAAAAAGGGTGTAAATTTTTTTTTTAAAAAAAAGAAAAAAAAGAAACAAACAAAACGAAGGGAGTATAATGTAAGCCAGTGGAATAATTGAAGTGGATAGAAGCCTAGTGTGTCCACACTTGTGAGTTTTTGAATTATCAACTATGCTACTTTGAATGGCAAGATATTTAGATATGATGAAGAAACTTCGTGTAATTGGAGTTCAGCGAGTGAAAAATCATACAATTAATAGGGTATATCCTCATTTTGAAGGCAAAAGTACAATACATCCTATGCTAAATTGCAAAGGCCTCTAGGCCCTCTACCTACTTAGACTCCATCCCCTCATACAACAAGCTAAATTCAAAACTCATCCAACGTAAAGCCCAAACATATTCCAAGTCCTGCTGATCTTTAACACGTGACTGAGAGGCCAAAAGATGTCTCATTGTTTTGTATATTTATTGACATTGAGCCATTGAGTAAAAAAGAGGTAGGCTTGAGAAGGCACTGAACCAGGTAGTTAATTAGGAAAACAATACTTTCCAGAAGAAGAAGAATCAAGAAAGAAAGTAATGGAAGCCTTGAGGTTAAGAGAGCCACTAACGAAAAGTGAATAAGGTACATAGACAGGCTAGGTTAAAAACGATATGTTGTATGAGAAAACATTCACTACAATTGCACATTCGAAAATAATGAATATGTTAAGTCTGTGTTTCTTAATAAATTTAAAAAGAGAAAGAACATATGTAGATGACACCAAATTAAAGAAAGTAAATAAATAAATAAGGTATTTGACAGAAAAGGGCAGATAGCATAGTAACAATAAATCAAGTTTATCAAATACTAGTGATGATGCTGAAAGAGCACTTTAAATTTGTGTTTCGACAGGTGATGATACTATTACTCAAAGTTCAAATAAGCAACCTTTTAGCTTCTTAACCACAGAAAAAAAGCTACCAAGGTTAAATCGATCTGGCATATTGGTATAAGGTTTTTTTTTTTTTTGTTTTTAAAGAGAGATCTAACTGAGACTCATTAAATCCCTAGATCAATAACCATTATTTTAACGACAACCTTAAAATACAAATAATTTCAAAAGATGTATACACAATTGTTTAAAAAAATAAGATGTATACCCAACGAGGAATTGTAAAAGGTAAACTTAAGAAAGGCATTGAAAGTACACTTGATTTGTTGCATAAAAAAGTCAACAGAGTATAGATATTACTTTACATTATGAGAGGGTGAAAGTTAATTCGTAGTCTGCAGTAAATATTTTCATATGATATTATGAGCATTACATTGATTATATTCAGCATAACTGCATAAGCAAAGAAATATAAAATAGTAAAGTCTGTCTTTGTAATATTAAGCAAGTTTAAAATGAAAACACATATAGAAATAGTTAAGAGCTCTCCTCTCTCTACTTTTTTGATTGAGTTATATTATATTAGGATCCTACAACTCTTATCATCATCTTATAACAATAGAAACTAGTGTAAGGTGACTTATTTCATGAAATCTGAGCTACGTGCCAAATATGTACAACAAGCTAGTCGCTACCAGGAAGAAAGAAAAAGCATTAAAACAACAATTCCCACAGGAAAGGATAATATACTACAATTCTGGGATTTCACGACACTAATATAACCAAAAAGTAGAGAGACATAGGGGAAAGCTATATTACCAAACACAAAAATAAGGCAGAGAAAAGTAGAAAACACCTGGGAAAGCTATAACTTATTTCATGACAATTTCTCATGCTACAGCAAAGAAACAAAGGAGGGCGGCGCACTTATCCCTATCCAACATGTCAAGTCCAAATGTGAAATAGTGAATCTTTGTATAATACCTCATCTTCTCAAAATGATGCAATAATTTCATCTAAAGGACTCCATTCTCATATCCAGAGCTAAAAAATGACTAACAATGTTAAGCTTAACTTGCACCAAAAATAATGTTAAGCTTAACATCACTATGTGGGTTCACTAAACTACCAGTTCATACTATCCTGGAATTCTTTCTGTATAGTTTGAGGTAATTTTGAGTATGACATCGAAAAACCGAATCACATTATAAAATTTACAACTTTGCAAAATGAAAGGAAATTTGACATCAAAAGCTAAAAATGGCACATTGTAGCCAAAGGACACCAAATCATCACAATTATATTGCCAGAATGAGTCCTTAAGTCCTAATAAATACGAATGAAACAATTGGCATTTAGCAGCAACAAAACAACTAATCAAATTGATAACAAGATCAATCACTCCTGTGAAAATAACTTGTTGATAATTTAAAATTCTTATCATCGCAAAATAATAAAAAAAAAAAATCAAAGAAGCCGAAACATAAAATGGCAATTACCTCAAAAACTTAAAATAATCAAATCTAGGGTTCCAAAATTGAAAAGCACACAACATCAAATCAAAATTTTACAAAAACGGAGCATAAAATCAGCAGCATTTCGATTATCACCTGTAATTGATTGTCGAATTTAGCATTATTCTCAGAAATTGTTTTGTAGATATTTCGTCGATTCTCGAAAACGACGGCAGCTGTCAGGGCACTTCCGAGCGCAGCGCCGAGTAATCGCTCCTGAAAAATGCAACAAAATCAAAATTGATTTGTTCAGATGAAGATGTGAGTGAAAATTGATTACAATTAACGTAATTTGAACTTCGTTTTCAGATGAAGATGTGAGTGAAAATTGAAACCTGAGCAAGAACGCTGATCATTGTGTCGTGGATTTCTATTCCTGTTGATTGTTGTTGAACAGCAGTTTTCGCCGGTTTCGTAGACTGAGTTTTTAGTGGGTTGGTTTTTGGTGAGAAAACAGGTTGGGTTGAGAGATTCGGATGACTTGGTAGAATGGTAGTTATCAATGATAGCGGGTAAAAATTGACCCAACACGGGATATGGAAATAAAAAAATTAAAAAAAATAAAAAAAAAAAAATCATATAATCGACCATGAACATAGTACTAGTATTACGGAAAAGAACAATCAATAACATAACATAGCTAACATAATACTTAAAACAGACACCAGTAATGACACGTGTCACTTTCTGGTGCTGTTTTTGTCCCTTTAAAACTCTCCCTCATATTTAGCAAAAATCTTTTATTTTTGAAATATTTGTATATTACAACAATAATAATATTTTTTTTTTGAAAAGTACAACAATAATAAGGTATTATTCTTAATCTTATATATAATATTTATAATAATTGTATTCCTTTTTATTACATGTTCAATTTAGTTAAAATAATTACACAAGATTTTGAGACTTTTTAATTAAGGGAAAATAAGCTATAATTTAGAAGGTTGGAATATGATGGAGAGTATAAAATAACAGAGCCAAAAATACAATATTAACGTTTAAATTACTATTATATAGTTGTACAATAGTGGGGTTCAATAGAAGAAAAAAAAAATTTAATTCATGGTGTTGATAAATTTTATGAAATAATAATAATTGAGTTAGTTTTCTGTAATAATTTTACCAACTATTTTTTTTTTCCTTCAAAAAATCTATTAATTATTACTAAAACAGGTCATGCTTATATCGATCATTTTGGACATATGTCAAGCTATCATTCAAAAATTTCCCGCCAATACAATATATGATATCAGCTTTAATTTTTATTTTTTAAAAAAAATGTTATTCTACGTAGCTTATTTTTTGGAAGTACGTTGTATAGTATTTTCTTTCAAACTAATTAATTCATTAATAAAAAGTCATACAACATCTACATTGTATAGTTTTATTGGGAATAACATGCATCGTTAATGTAATATAATGTATACTATGTTTAAATATTTTCACCACAATGAATCAAAATAATTTTTTTTTTTTTCAATTGTAGTTTTAATAACTTCTGGCTTATTTTTTCATCTTCCTTATTTACATTACATTTGTTTATTCCACATAATTTTCCTCATTTTTATATTATATCACAGATTAATTATGGGGAAAAATTCTATTACGTACTACCGTATAACTTGCCTCATTTGTATATATATATATATATATATATATATATATATATATATATATATTAAAGTGCTCTTTCACCCGTAAATGGGTAATTTAATTGATTATTTATTAAATTACCCATGTGCCTATCAAAGTGTGAAAGAGCACTTTAAGTTTAATTGATTATCAATTAAGTTACCCGTAAATTAAAGTGCTCTTTCACACTTTGATAGGCATATGGGTAATTTAATTGATTATTTATTTCATTTTTAATTTATTTTTTGTTTCATTAATACTATTGTTATGATTATAGTCAATGAGTATTTTTATCTAATATTCATATAATATTAAACAAAAAAAAACATACATAGTTATGTATAAATATATAATTTGATTAATTATTTAGGGTTATATTTATAAAATGAGATGCAATGTTAATAAAAGTATAGATTCTTACAATTAACTTTGTTTATTTTTAATTTTCATCAAAGATTGTTGACGGGTTTATTCTTGAAAATTAATACAAAGTACAACATACGCATATAATTAGACAAAAAAGAATAATTTAATGTCTTATAGAAAATTACTGCTTTAATACCCATTTAAAATGGTAAGAAAGATATGAAAATATATATTAGTAGAACATATATGGAAGAAATTCGATGTCAATTATAGAAGTTAATATTTGGCAAAAACATAAAATAAAATTAAAAAAATAAAATTGCAGGAAAAATTTTAATTAGAAGATGACACGTGTCATCCCAAAGTTCGCCTTTAGTATAAAGCTATATATAGATTAGTGTTTATATTTTATGATCTCCTAAATTTATGAGTTCAAAAAAAATTATATAATTTCAGTTTAAATAAGTTCAGGTTCCCTATAGGATTTCTCTTTGGGAGGGTTTTTCTGGTTCCCTCTAAGGTTTCTCCCTTGGGAGGGTTTTTAGCCTCCATTACTAGATTTTTTCTGTTTTTCCTTCATTTTTCTCCTTTTTTCTCTTTCTCTTTCATCTCTTTTCTTCTGGTCTCTTTTGTGAATATTTGTAGGGGCTTCCATCGGTGTTTTTACCGGTGGTAAGCCCCAAAAAATTTTTAATTGCTTTCAATAAATTGATCCATCTTTGAGATGGTGGTTATTCTATTCGCGTCGGGTTAATTTCTTTTTTGGTTTGTCTGGCGAAGATTGAAGATTTAGGGTTTCATAATTTCCGGAAGTATCTAGAAGACCATATGAGTATTTTCACTCAAACAACTGTTCATCAGTGGATCTCAAGCCGAATTAGTGCTAACTCACAGATTGTATTGCTTCGTATGAAGGTTTTTTATTAAAGCGGTCGTTGATCGAATCTGCAATGTATTCAGTTCTAAGGTTATTTGTACTTGTGCTGGAATTCTAATAAACCTAGGAATTGTTTGTAAGTGTCGTTTGGCTATCTTTCATAAATAAAATCCTTTTTCTTCTTGTCAAATAAAAAAAAAAAAAAAAATTAATCTCCTAAATTTATACGATTTTCTAGTGTGTATTTAGTACTTATATGTAGCCCGGTTATATAGCATTTTCCATATAAGAATGATGAAAGGTTTTTCTTTCTTTTTTTTTTTTTTTAAATTTACTTATGTGGATATTAAATATTTCACTCAAAATAAGACTTTTATAAACATAATATTTACTCCATATACGAAGTATGTGGTGGCAAATACACATTTGCATTATCATTAAGAAGATGATTTTGTACTTGAACATCAATAGTTATTGTGCATCCACCTTATTTAAAAGTTTGCGTAAAAAACAAACCTTTTATAAAAGTTCACATCAACAATGTATAGCGACAAGGCATTCCAAATGGCTAACGGCGAGCAACATGTAGGGTGCCTAACAGGGGTGAGAATGTCATTTCGCTTGCAAATTTAGAGACGACTTATTGAGTTGTCAAATAATATCACAAAAAGTTACTAGAGTTTCAGTGGTACAAAATACACTCTTAGTGGGAGTGATCCAGTAATTTTTTCTCCCTTTGCACGTGAATTCATATCTGACACAAAAGAGTAGGGCCCACACCAACTTGCACTCTTCCTATCTATCTTTTCCGTGTACCTCTATTATTTTTTTATACTTCGTAGTTGTTGGCTCACAACTAAAGGCGTGCATCGTGCCAAGCCTGGCGGGCCACGGTCTTCGGCGAGCCGTGCCGTGTCGTGCCACCGTGCTGGAGGAGGCGTGCCGTGCCGTGCCACCCAAATTCGTAGGCCAGCCCACAACATGGCACGGCACGACCCACGTGCCAGGCGGGCTCGTGTCGGGCTGGCCTGCTGGGCTACTGTCATTCCTTCCCTTTTTATTTATTTCTTTATTTATTAATAGTTTATATTTTATAACTTATAATCTTATATTATTATATTATTATTTTTCTAAAATAAATTAAGTTTAATATTTATGTTTTATTATTTTTTATTTTTTATATTTAATATTTATATTTATATATTTAGTTTATACTATTACTTTATAGTTTAATGTTTATAATTTATTATATTTATTTTTGTATTATTAATTATTATGATTTTATTTTTGTTATATTAATTTACAAATTATAACTTAACGGGAAAAAAGGCAAATTGGACTTGGATGTGAATAATGCATACTTCATATTATTATTACTTGAAAAAATTGTACAATAATAATAATGATAAAAATCGTACAAGGATATTAAACAAAAATTGGATAATGATAAAAATCGTAAAATGTTATATTGATAATGATAAAAATCGTACAATATACAAAAATTGTTTATTCTTCTTCTTCTTCTTCTTCTTCTTCTTGTGCGTCTTCGTCTTCGGCTTCAAGGTCATCGGCTAGTTGCATAGATTGGGAACTAGCCGAACCCGAACGGTCGAAAGCGGAGGTTCCTTCATCGTTGTCGTTGTCATCGTAAGAATGGTCTTGCGAGCGATTTTCCACATCCAACCAATCTTTGAAACACACGCACATTTCAAGTGTGTCGGGTTTTAGACTTTTTCTTCTATCATCTAAAACCCTCCCGAATGCGCTGAAAGCTCGTTCGAAGGCAACGGAGGAGACTTGGATACCAAGAATGTCTCGTGCCGTTGCCGCCAAAGTTAGATGTTTCATGCTTTGTTGTTTCCACCATGCAAGGAGGTCGAGGCTGTTTATCTCATCGTCGTCCATGCCCTTGGTGAAGTCGTAACTCAGGTACATTTGCAACTCTGAGACATCGCTTTGCGTTCTCCTTATTGATGAATCACCTGAAAACCTTGAAATCAAGTTAGTAGCTTGTGAAAATATATGTTTGGCCTTCTTACTTACGTTTTTGGATGGTTGGGAAGGGCATGAGCGAGGAACGGTGCCATATTTGGTTTCATAGACTCTATATAAAGCAAAAAACTGATCCTTCACATTAGTCTTATAGGTATCTACATCATCATCAAGAAGCATGCATTGAAAGTAAATGTCAACTAACATAAATGTATTTTCATACTTTTGCCTAGGATCTAATATGGAAGCAAAAATATAAATCAAAGGAATTTCAGTATAATATTTACGCCACTTTGTTTCCATTGCTGGAAGATACTGATCATAATCACTTTGGTTGCGACGATAAGCAAAAAGTTGGGCGAGTAAACATGCATTTGAAAGAAAGTTTTGAGCAGAAGGATTATAAATAGAAGAAAAACAATACGTCATGTTATATAATAACTGTAAAAATTGCATATATCGTTCACATTTATCCCAATCATCCTCATATATAGCATTGTTTGGAAATTTTTGGTTGTAAAAAATTGTCAACGGATTCTTGTACTCAATTGCCTTGGTTAACATGGCATAGGTGGAATTCCACCTAGTTGGGCAATCGGGTTTGATTTTTATTGCCCTTATCTTTTGTTGTCTTAGAAAAC